GCTTCCCGCCAATTTTCCCGCGCGAGCCTTCTTTTTTCTTCCCGCCGTTTGTTTCCCGCCACGAGAATTTCGCCCGCCAAATTCATCCGGACCCCCCACTCCCCAGTTTCCTATAAATAGTGAAGGGGGTGGAGGAGTTAAGTGTGTGGGAAAAATTAAGTGGTTTTGTGTGGAATTCTTTTGAGAGAAAAAGAAAGAGTGAGTTGAGAGTGAACTTGTAAGAGTTTGATATTTTCCTCATAGTGAAACCCCCTCTCGTGGAGGTAGGCTAGTTAGCCAAACCACGTAAATCTCGTGGAGGTATTTGTCTTATTTGTGAGTTATCATAGCTTGTAGGTTCCCTCAATATTCGGTCTTAGAGCTGATGAGAGGAAGAGTGTATATTTCACTTTGATGAAATATATCACTTTCGATTCTTGTTTCCTTTGAGAAATAAGAATTTCACTATCTATTCTCGTTTCCTTTGAGAAACAAGAATATAGAGGCTGACTTGTGTTTTTGTGATAACAATAGCCAGTGCTATCTTTCAGGTGATATCGCTTCCGTGGCGGTGGGCGTGACTCTACACCCGATAATTGGTATCAGAGCCCTTATTCATATTGACGGTGGTTAAGCTACTAATCTGAGGTGGTGGTTGACTATTGTGTGGTGAACACAAAGAAATTGTTAAAAATTTCTGAGAGAAGCGGATTTACATAATACAAGCGGAAAATGGCTTCTACAAGTAAAACAAGTAAAGTTGGAAAATACGAGATTGAAAAATTAAATGGGAAAATTGATTTTTCCTATTGGAGGATGCAGATGAAAAATTCACTGATTTTGCAAAAATTACACAAGGCTTTGGCTGGAAAAGAGAAGAACAAAAATATGTCTGATGAGGATTGGGAGGAGCTGGATCTGGAAGCACGGGCGTCGATTATCCTTTGCCTTGAAAGGGATGTAGCTTTCTTGGTGGACGGAGAGGAAACAGCTGCGGGCGTGTGGTTAAAGTTAGAAAGCACCTTCATGACGAAGAGTCTAACGAACCGGATCTATTTAAAATCCAAATTGTATACTTGCAAGATGGAGGAGGGCTCGTCAATCCGGGAGTACATTAACAAGTTCGATAGGATCATATCGGATTTGAAAGACATTGAGGTGACGGTGGAAGACGAGGATCAGGCGCTTCTATTACTTCTATCTCTGCCGAAGTCTTATGAGAACCTGGTACAAACACTGATGTTTGTGGGTGATACTTTGTCGATGGATGAGACTAGAACGACGCTTCTAGCAGATGATCTTTGAAAAATTACAACTAGTGATATGGCCACTGGTGGTAACGAAGAACAAGCGCATTGACTGTTTGTAAGAGGAAGAGGCAATGAGCGAGGAAAAGGCAAGGGAGGAAAGTCTAGATCTAAATCGAGACCTTTTGCGGGACGAGCGTGTTTCAAATACGGTGAAGTTGGACATTTCAAGGTCGATTGTCCTAACAAGAGAGTAGGTGGGAAGAAGAACATTAGCACAAGCTGGCAAAAGACTACAAACAGTAATAACCATGGGCTAACAAGAGAGTCTGATCTCTCTCTCTCTCATGGTTGTTACTATGGCATTGATGGTTGTTATAGTTGTCCTCATTTCAGGATATTTGTTTCATCAGCTGCTATTTTGTGCTTCATTTTGAGAATAACGTATTTTATCACAAATGATGAAGAGAAAATCGGCAAGTTTTGTCAATAGAATTTTTCATTCAAGCGTATTTGGTATTGTTTATTGATGGCAAAACCTTGGGCTTGCCGACGACTGGTCCATTGTGTAAATACAGTTTAATCTGCTCATCAAATTCATGATTTGGTCCTTGTTCTGTTCTAAATTTCAAATATTCTTACAACGCTTAAAATTATATTTTAAGAATGAGACATTGGGAGTTGCCTTTTGAAGTGATTGATGGTTTTGATCTATATCTACGAAATTCACAACTCCAATTATTTGGGGTTAAAAAAAGAATTTACATGTTGTAAAAAATGGAATAACTCAATTACTGTAGATTCCCAGTTAATGTTGGCAATTAATTTTAAGGTCGATTGTCCTAACAAGGTCGATTGTCCAAACAAGAGAGTCTGATCTCTCTCTCTCTCTCATGGTTGTTAAAAAATTCACTGATTTCCAAATTGGAGGATGCATATGAAAAATTCACTGATTTCGCAAAAATTGCACAAGGCTTTGGCTGAAAAAGAGAAGAACAAAAATATGTCTGATGAGGATTGGGAGGAGCTGGATCTGAAAGCACGAGCGTCGATTATCCTTTGCCTTGAAAGGGATGTAGCTTTCTTGGTGGACGGGGAGGAAACGGCTGCGGGCGTGTGGTTGAAGTTAGAAAGCACCTTCATGACGAAGAGTCTAACGAACTGGATCTATTTAAAATCCAAATTGTATACTTGCAAGATGGAGGAGGGCTCGTCAATCCCGGAGTACATCAACAAGTTCGATAGGATCATATCGGATTTGAAAGACATTGAGGTGACGGTGGAAGACGAGGATCAGACGCTTCTACTACTTCTATCTTTGCCGAAGTCTTATGAGATCTGGTGCAAACACTGATGCTTGTGGGTGATACTTTGTCGATGGATGAGACTAGAATGGCGCTTCTAGCAGATGATCTTCGAAAAATTGCAACTAGTGATATGGTCACTGGTGGTAACAAAGAACAAGCGCAGTGACTGTTTGCAAGAGGAAGAGGCAATGAGCGAGGAAAAGTGTCACGCCCCGCTTCCCAAAATACCCGGGAATCGGAACGTGAACAAGCCCACGACGTATTAGATCAAGGAGAGTAAACATTTCTCCTCAACCTAATACGCTAAGCGTCTGGAAATAATACAATGCAAAGGCACAGGTCCCCGATCACAATCAGCAAGAATATAATGAACAACACAGAATAAAATAATACATATCACAATGAATAACATCCGAGACATAATATTCGGGTCAAACGTGCCCTTATACAAAAACTATCTAAATGAAATACTGGAGAATATAATAATACACTGATCAAATGGAAATAAAAGGTAGTACAAAAGAAAGCTGAGGACCAAAAACTAAGCTTTAGCTTCTTCTTCTGCTCCATCCGCTAGGCACTCCTGCTGAGAATCCTCTGGTTCTTGCTAAACCTGTTCTTCCTCTAAGTCTGACGTACACCAGAGAAAACAGGTGTACGTCAGGTGCATGGTGCACAGCAAGATCCCACAAAACAATAGAGCGAACGAAAACCCAATGCGAAAAACAATACGGTAACCGAAATGACAAAAGAAACATGCAATTGGAAATCCAACCAAAACAATCAAGTAACAAGTCGGTCATGCAGCTAGTCATCAGAATAATCATCCAGGTAACAATGTCATACAAATAGATAAAATTAATACTTAAAAATCTATAACAAGAGACGTAGTGCGTCGAGCGAAATAATCCAAACAAGGAAACCCTCATGTATATACCATATGTCTCAAATTGTAGATGATTAAATATTAATCCCGATCTATGTATAAAAAAGATAATACAATTGATCCGTATCTCACGAAAAGTCATACCTAGCCTAGAAACGAGGTCAAGTAACTAGCCATCCTATAACAGGTCACTGGTCACATCTCACACAGAGTCAACGCTCCTATCACCGGATAACTGGCTGTTCACAAATCCCCTACGCGCATCCAATCCCGCGAAACAGGTGTAGGCATCGAAAATTGCCTATGGGTCTCCACGAACAGCTCAGTGTTAAAGAACGATAATGAACATTACTATCTGGTTCACAGGAGTTCGACTGATGTCGGTGAACGCTTGAAGTGAACCGACGAACTACGTGAGCTGATAGGATTTCGGAATAACGAAGACACAGGCTAATCGAGAACCCCGTCCGCAACCCCTCATGCCTATAAATACAAGCCTTAGGCCTCATTTTTTTGGGATCTGGAGTTTTGGAGAATTGGCGAAGCCCTGCCGGAGTGAAGAGTGATCGAGCACTTCAACGCAAGAGAGTTTCTTCGTCAGATCTACATCACCCGTACCCGATCCTTAGTATTATCCCGTTGTGGTAATACTAAGAAGAGCAAATATCTCGCTTTTATCGAGATAGGCGCTTCAAGTTTCTAGATCTCCTCGCGGATCGACGAAGCTC